ATTGGCTCCTAGAGCCTCTGGTACCATGCACCAGGAATTACAAGAGTGACAGGTCACTCTTTATGTAACTTGGGTACACTGGGGTTCGTACCCCGTTACACGGTCCCAGTAGCAAGCCCTGCAGCCCTCGTGGTCGCAGCAGAGCACTCCGTAACATTTCTTCTCGTTGATATGTACTTATGGTCGATTGAGTATCAAAACCGTACCCTTACGCTTCTTTCGCTTCATGAGCTTGGTGTCGACGAGATATTGAACAGACGAATGCGTCTGATGGCACTACGAGCAGAGCTTGCTCGTCCTGAACTCGTCCATGGAGACCACCATCGTACGCTTCTGAAGCGCCTGCTTCAACCCCTTCACTGGACTGTATGCATGACCTCTGATAGCATTGCGCTTACTCCAGTCTCCGTACACCACACATATCTTCGTGCTTACCACTGGAACGATGCGTTTGGCCATTGCATCCACCGCAACGCGAGCCATTCGCTTCCTGAAGAACTTAAGAAACGGGTGTTCAACATAGAATTCTAGTAGGAAGTTCGCGTGGCGCCAGTAGTAGTGGAGGAGCTCCAAATACTTCTTACAGCTTGCCGTCTTGAACGACGGCATGTCGGCAATGACTCTTTGATATTCTTGATCTCGTTTCTTCAGACACTCCTTCCACTCTCGAAATTTTTGATCCCGGCCAAGTGTCGATATTCACGTGTATTGATGCGAACTACATCTCGGTCGCATTGACACTGACGAGCCTTGGGTCTGCGTACCCAGTGCAGGCGATCACTCTTCCTTCGGTGTGACCCAGGTGTCTTCTTAACACGCCGGAATCTGGGTCTTCGTTGTCGACGGTGTCTTTTCACATTAGAGCGTAGATCTTCTGTGACGGCCGTACAAAGGGCTCGCATCCCTGGATCCAGTCCAACGGCGACGGCCGGCACGTACCCAGCGGGGATGACGGGGTGCTCAGAAGACCTCTTTTCCGCTCTTTCATCGCCATTTTTTTGTCTTGGGCCGAAAGAGCAAGAGAGATGCGCCGTATCCATCCGTGGTGACCTGGTTTGCAAAGAGATGGCTAGCGTGCTCATACTTCTCTCCTACGGGGAGGCTCACAAACTCGGGCTTGGGGAGAGGACACTGAGGACTTCTCGTTTCAAACCTCGACATGCCAAAAGCGTTGCGCATCACCACCCAACGATTTTGCTGAAACGATTCGGTTGAAACCAACACTCCAGGAATCTGCCAGAAGAACTCCATCTCCCGCTTCTTGACGCGTAGGTAGAATCCTGCCAGGGTGGTTCCGTTAATCTTGATGTGCGACGCCGTGTATGTCGTGGAGACGGGAAAGAGTGAGGGCGCACGAAATCCGATCTCATTGGGCTCTGCTTTCATCCTCTTCTCAATCGCATCTTGGAACTCCCAGATCAATCGAACGTAGAAAGCCAATCCGTTTTCACCGATGCGGTTTGACCATGGTATCCACTGCTCGCTCCACTCAACGCCACACGGAGTTAGAGCGTCCCGTATTTGGAGCGTTTTCACCACACCCGTCTCATTGGTGCTGTAGAGCGCGCATAATTTCTCTCACAAGGAGTGCTTTTTTTTCCCTTTTTCTCTTTCTTGTCAACATTGCTACCCAACCCTTCAAATGTAATTTGCACGTATAGCCGCAGACGCTTTGCAAAATGCCAACGAATCATCACTCCAGCATTCACAAACATTTGCTCATGAAGTTCAGCCTTCAGTTGAGACAAGCCGACGAGGTTACGTACCTCCTCAAGGCCTGCGAGCGCTCGTTTCTCTTTGTACACAGATATCACACTTCTTGAAAAACCAGCCGGCTTTTCAATAAACTTGAACTTGGATAGGTCCTTTGTGCCATTGCTCTCCATGTTACTATCGCCATCAGCTTCAACACTTGGAGTCCACATCTTGATGTCTCGATTGGAGCCCGATACCATCAGTGCGTGAGTCGGATGGGCTGCGAGTGCAAGTACTGGATGGTCGTGGCCGGTCAAGACAGAAGTTACATCCTGTGAGCCTACATTCCACATCAAAATACGGTTGTCCTCCGATCCACAGGCCACAATCGACTGCTTGTTCCATTGCTGCTCCAGGAAGGCGCACTGCATGCTGAACTTGCGATTGACGTGGCTGCTGTACGTGCGTAAACAGATATCGAACATGTAGTCCCAGAGACGCACCGTTCCCTCGAGAGTCGAGCTGAGCGCATATCGTCCATTCGGGGTAACCTCGCAAAGCCCACAGGCGCTGCCGGCTCCGTAATGATTGTACGCAGTTACGGACTAGAAGCCACATCCCATAGCGTAACGGCGCCGACAGCGGCCGACACCGCGCTCACGCACTTTTATTGGTAGGAATAAATGCACATCTGGTTCGGTGCCCTGGTGGGACTGCAATCAGCGGGGCTGTTGATAATCAAGTTGATTGTCGTCACACATTGCCAACGCGCTACTTTATGTAACTGTCTAGGCACTAACAAGGCATCGCGAATTTCTCGTAGTTTCATGCACATCAACTGCAACTACTAAAATTAATGGACAGCATTTATTCAATGGTTTTAGCTAGTTGCTTTCCTTCTCACTTTCGCTTTTGTATTCACACAGGCCAGCGTTCTGCTAGCTACCGCCCTGCGGGAAAGTGCCAGTTCAAATCGTAAGGTTGGTGTCTTCGGTGCGTGTTTCTCCCCACTTCCAGCGTTCTGCTAGAAACCATGGACAGGGATGCAATCCAACGTTGAGACTACACGGCGGACAATGGGCGGCCCAATGTGCCAAAGCCAGAGCGGAACAAGCGACAAGTACTCCCTCTGAGGGTTGTACTCAGTAAATAACGCCGTTCAAAGCCGCGATTTCTGTCAGTCAGCGAAGCGGCTCCCATCGTGGACCGTCTAACCAAAGCTACAGTGAGGCTGGGACGTGATGCCCATGGCAACGTCAAATACGGCGGCTACTCGACTACTGTGCTGCACGAAGCACTTCGCGCCAAGGGCTACCAGCTTAGGTGTTTAAACAACACTAGTACATTTAGCTGTAGTGCTAAGAAGCGATTTAGAAAGGTAGCATTTTCGATATTCAAGCATCTCATCATCATTGGCAGGCACGTGGCGCAGGGAGGGAATACCTGGCACTGTGTTGCACGTGCGCACGTGGACGACAAGTACTACTCCCTTGACTCAGATGAGTTTGTCTACAAGCCATGTACCGAAGCCGGTTTGCGCCACTTCTTTGAAGAAATCTCAGACGTTTACGCGGTCGAAACGATTAAATGAATAAACAATTTTTTTGCACAAAACTTAACAAAATTAAACACTTTTATGTTTATATAATATAACTTCCTGATGACTGTTAACTAGACTGTTAATTTTTAGAAATACAAAAAAAAAAAGCTTGCATTAAATTTACGACACTTAAACGTCAAGCAAAAATGTTATGAATTGAACGCTGTTGTTGGCCGTGAAAACAATGTAATTTTGAATGCAATAAAAATAAATTCTGTTTATATGATAGATTTCAGCCCACAGTGATATTAATTATTAGGAAGTGGTTTGCTGGAGATGCATTTTTGCTATTAATTCTATAAACCTACTAGCTAGGTCCGCGTGAACAGGTCTTGAGTATCTTGAGGGGCTGGGTCCGTCGTGTCTCCAATTACCACACGGGCTCGATACGCTGAGATTACAGCGTCCAACTTACCTTCGTGGTAGAACTTGCGGAGTTTCTTCAGCACAGATGATCCGTTCTTGCGCTTGATCCCATGCCCATTGAAGAACTTGACAAGCCGATCTTCAGTCTCAATCCCGTAACGAAGAACCTCGTCACAGTACCCTGGCGTTGATGGATCTAGCGCGAAGCCCTTCGGCAGAAAGAGCTTCATGTAGTTCACAGTCTGCTTATAAGCCGATTTTTTTCTGCCGGTCATTGCGTACGTCCCACATTCGTGGAGTTTTGGCATACCATTCGAACCAAATGGTAGATGGCCTTTTAGGAAGCGATTTTTTCCCGCAGGTCTTTGTCTTGTTATCACCATCGTCACGATCATTTGGTGCTTCTGCTTCTTGTACTGATGATGGCAAAATCTCCTGGGTATTGTCTTGAGTAGTGATGCGACCCTCCAGCTGGTTGACGCGCTCCGTCAGTGCTCGGGTCATGGCGATCAGCTCGCCGATGATGCAGTTTTGATGGTTGATGAGCTTGATCTCTCGCGAAAATTTCTCTTCGGTTTCTTCAGCCGTTTCTAGTTTTTGATCCGTTGCCTTGCTCTACAATTCCGAACTCCATGCTGAGACTTGCGTTTTAGTTAACCCATGTGCCATCAGACACTGCCACACTCTAGTTGCGTATTGACACATTGGATGGCGCTCCAGAATTTCTGGGAAGTGTTGAATCACAGCAGCGGTAAGCACTTCGACCAATCTTCCATTGAGTCTTTTTTGCACGATCTTGAGCACAAACACTAGATTGAGAGAGTAAGTTGCCGAGTTGTAAAGTTTGTTGTCGGCTTGCTGAATCGAACCAGGATAGTGTGGGTATCGCTGGCGCTCTGAACGCGAGATACCTTCTGGTCTTCACTGGCGGTGTTGATCACATACGCGAATGCCTTGTTTGTAGCAGTCATTTTCCACAAACCACGATCGAAGATCCACTGCGCACTAATAAGTGGATCGCTGTTAGCATGTTGAGCTCCACCACGGCCAAACTAGTGCGACGGTAGATTTGTGCTAGGCTTCGCTTTAGTTTGGATTTCGGACGCATTCTTAACAACCCGATTCACATATGCGTGAATCTTCATGTTACCTTCGGGCTGCTTGACCTTTTTCTTTGGCGGTTTGCCAACATCTTTGTGGCTAGTAACACCTAGAGTACCACACGCGGCAAGTGCTTCAACGAGCGGAATGTCAACTGGAGCTGTCATACCCTCGCCACTGCCAGCAGCAAGATGAGGATGGTCAAGCAACTGAGCGCAGGGATGATCTTGCATCACCAAAGCCATCGCAAAAGCGTGTAGTGGGCATGTGATGAAACTGCCCTTGTCCGGGAAGAGAGAAAGCCCCTTGCTCCTCAGCTGTCTTCACTCGGATTAGCCGCACGAAAACCACTCCATCGGCGCCGACAGACAAGTTTCCTTTCACTACAAAGCCGAGGTCGGAGGCACGTCCGAACGCGTACCACATTAGCGCAAGCAGGGCTGCATCTTAATAGTCTTTGGGGCTTGCTGCCTTAAAAATGAGCCCGTCCATAATAATCTGGAGGTCTTCCTTAGTACATGCAGGTGCCTTCTTAATCATTTCCCCATCAACACGCATAAGGCAATGACGCTCGAGAGTCTGGGCCACCTTTAATAGCTTCTTCTCAATACTTGCTCGATGCTTTGGATAGGTGTCGAATCCGTTCTTGGCATGCCGGCAGTAGCTCATCACCGACTTCCGTGCCAGCGGATTTCCTCCTCGGTCTTTCACAAACGCCAGGTAAACTCCGAAGCGGTCCATGAGCTTTACGAATACAGCTCCACTCGCATCACGAAGGAGGGAGGCTCCGATGAAATCCATAGACACTGATGAAGCGATTGAAAGCAGTGATAGCTGTCTGCAGGCACGTTGCGAGTTGACTGGCGCGAGATATTGGAGGCTTTTACAATTGTCAAGTCTTTTGTCGGTAGTCTTAAGAATATGCGAATGATGCGAACAGAACTAGCGGTTCGTATTGCCTCTCAGCATGTTTCTCACCTCGTGCTTAAATTATACGTCGGCAAGCTGTCGGTAGCTATTTATCCTACCCGTTTTGGTTTTTATTGATCATTATTCTGTAATCGCTTTAGTCAAATGAAGTTAAAACTATCTTGTCGGCACTGTCGGGGTGACGACATTTTGTGCAACCAAGTGAGCTACCAGTGATTTGATTGGATAATAAGCATGTGCAATCTCATATAAATTAATCACATTCGTTATCAAGTGACACATGCTAATACAGACCGTGTCCACCGTTTTTCCTAGCTGTCTGAAGTGCTTTCAGAATTTTAGTCACTGAAAGCTACCGCCCGTACTTAGCATATATCTTGTCAATAGCAGCGTCACTTGTGAACCCTGCTCGTACAAGTCCAGCAACTTCATCCCAGAACACCTTACGACGACTG